CCTGGCTGGAGACCTGTGTCAGCACAAGCCCTGCTCTGACAGGTCCTGGGCTCAGGGCTGGGGGGATCTCCCGGCTGTGTGGGCTGATAATTAATCTTAGCAGGGCATCCTTGCCAGCTGGAGCTCCCACCAAGGGATGCTGGGCAGCTCGGCATCTTCCCGGCCTTTCCAGCATCAGCTGCTGTTTCTGGATGACTTTTTTAGTGTAGCATCGAACATATTGCAGTGTTCCCCTAGGGATGGGGCCCTGGAACAGCTGATGTCTGCTTTGGAAAGCAGCAGTGACCTGCCGAGGTCTGCAGGTCGCTTTAAGTTTGGATTTCAGCTCAGGATTAGGGTGAGTGAGGCTGCTCTGCCGGGCAGAGCGAGGCACTGCGGGCTGGGGCTGCTCCGGGGAGACACACGGAGCTCCTCGGGATGCCGCAGGCACTGAGCGCTCCACAGATCTGTTTGAGCACGAAAAATTAAAAAGGCACCCACCCCTAGATGTCAGGAGTTGGAAACCCGAGCAGAAACTACTAGAACGGAACCTCATCGTTTTTAACTCGCCGGGAAGGTCTCTGAGAGCGGCAGGAGCGGTTTAACAGCGCTGCCTGCTGGAGGGATTTCGTGCCCAGGCTTTTCCAGCCCTTGGACACTTTGGCAGTTTAAATCTTCCTTCTCCCTCGTCTGCTCTGTGTGTAAATCCCAGCTCCTCGGGCCAGGCTGAGAGGGATGGAATGTTTTCACCGTTATTTCTTCTCTTGAGCCGTGTTTGGAGCAGTGGGTGCGACTGAGAGCTGCTCTGGGTGCTGCCCTGAAACCCCCTCCCAGAACTTCCGTGCCCGCTGGGATCTCAGGGGAATTAAAGGAATTCCTGTTTCGCTGGGGAGGCACGATGCTGCTTTGGGGGCATTTTTAGAGCTGGGGAGGTGGGATATCAGTTCTGAGGGTGACCCTTGAGGCAACAGGTTCAGCTTTCTGCTGTTCCCATACCCACTAAACCTGAGCCTTTTGGGACAGACTGAACCCTTGGGACAGGTTTAACCCTTGGGATAAATTTAACCATTGCCAATTGTCCTTGCTGACTGCACTGAGCAGAAAACGTGTGGAGCTGCCACAAACACTTAAGATGTGAATTGTTTACTGGACTTAAGGGTCACTATTTTTGTCTGCCAAGTCACCCCAGTCGTGTTCTGCCTTCCAAGGACAGCTCAGGTGCCAACCCACAAGCAGGGTGGGCAGGGAGCACGGGGGGTTCCTGTGGGGGTAGAACACGGGCAGCTGGCAGCCTTTGCAAGGTCCCCTGTTCCTGGCTGTGCTGCTCTGGAACAGCAGGAATTCCTGGGGTCAGAGGGATTGGGTTGCTCAGCTTCAGGTGACACCTTCCAAGGGCATCAGTGTTCAGGTGGGTGTGCATCAATAAGCAGATCTGGATGTGAAGTTAAGATTTGGGAGCAAATATTTCAGCAGCCTTAATGCCCCTCTGTGCTCACAAAGGCCTCCGGGGCAGAGGCTGCATGTCACCCCATGTCACCCTCTGTCACCCCATGTCACCCTCTGTCACCTCCTGTCACCCCATGTCACTTCCTGTCACCCCATGTCACCCCATGTCACCTCCTGTCACCCTGTGTCACCCCATGTCACCCCGTGTCACCCCATGTCACCCCGTGTCACCCTGTGTAACCCCATGTCATCTCCTGTCACCCCATGTCACCCCATGTCACCCCCTGTCACCCCGTGTCCCACGGGCTCCACGTGGACAGAGGGGTCACCTGCCCTCCCAGGACAGCAGCATTAGGCTGGTTTTACTCCTGGCAGCAGTTCTAAAGAACATTAACATTTACTGGATGAAAAGACTATCAGAAGTCCTCCTTACAATGCTAAAAACCGTTGAAATTCCCTTCCTTTAATCACCTTTTTTGCTATTAATTAACTCTGACCACTGTCACTGTGGTGCCCAGAACCCCTCCTGCCAGCCCCGAGGGCCAAGGTGGCTGTGCCATCTGTTTGTCCTCACTTCATCTGCCTTATGCCTCCTGTGCCAGGGCCAAGCTGCTTCTCCCTGTGCTGTCGTGCTGGGTGAGAGGAAAGGGAGGCTCAAAGAGCCCAGGCTGGTTTATTTGTTGTTAGGAAGCAGCCATGGTTTAACTGCACAGACAAGCCCCAGCCTTGGCACATGGATTCAAAGTCACCTCCTTCATCCCAAGCTGCCTGCCAGCAGCCTTCCAAAGAAGGGCTCCAAACTGGCTTCTCCTGTTTCGTTTTTTTGAATACACTTAATTAATGAGGCAGAGGCAAAAATACACAACAAACACACCGGAGTAGTTTTTAACCTGGCTTGATTAATGCTGTCAAGTTGCACATCTGAGATCTGAGTGTGAGCTCAGTGGGACTGTTGCTTTTGTTTAATACCACAAGACACCTCAGTCTGGATTGTTGCATTACAGTACAAATAAAAAACAGAAACAAAACCACATCTGCATCATACAAGGTGAGAAGAATATGAGAATTCTAAATATTTACAGAGAAGGGCAAGTGGGGAAAACCACAAAAAATATTTACATAAAAATACATGAGCTTGTCAGCATATACATTTTACACCAGTTCACAAAAAAAGACACTATATAAATTAAAGTGAAGGGAACTCCAAAGGTAACCCAAGACTTTCTGGGACGTTTCTCTCATGCGGCTCAGGGAAAGAAAAATCAAGTCTTCTACAGCAGGAAAATGAACGGCAAAACATCCCTTTTCTCCCCCCCTCCCTCCCCCCAACTGGACGAGGCAGGACTCTGCACACCAGGAACTGGACATTGCTCACACCAGACCATGCCTTTCACACGGGAATCTGGGAAAAGCTCTGGGAAGAGGTGCATGCCCAAGCTGCCAAGAGCGAAAGGAAGGGAAACGACTTCTCATCCAGGTTTCCTGACATGTAACATCACTTCAGTCCATGCCCTGGGCAGTGGCAGAGCACACTTGAGGTTCTGTCCCTTTCTGGGGTGAAAGAGGAACAGGATGTTTTCAAGTTGGTTTTGGTTTTGTGTAGCAACTTACTACCACTGTGCAATCCTTACTGACCCCCCTCCCACGACGAGTGGAAAAGGAGGATCACTGCAAAGACATAGGCACGAGGTTGTGGGGCTGTTCTCATAGATGCATAAAGGTTTCACCTGATAAGACTCCTTAAAAATCAGAAATTAATGCTTTATTTAAGACTTCACAGGGGCTGGGCCCTCATTACTCACCCACCGTCTGCACTCCCCCTTCCCAAGGAAGGCCTCCTAGGGATTGCACAGCCCACTCCAAAGCAGAGGTTTGAGGAGGAAAATCCAGAGTTGGGGGCTCTGTTGGCCCCAAACTCCTGTGTGCACTGGGGGGGATCTCAGCTGGACACTCAGGAAGGGGCAATTCCAGCTGCAGTCTATGGCAAGTGTCAGGAATCACCGAGGGTCAGAGCTGCCATCACCTCGCTGGAGCTGTGCTCAGGCCATGAACCACCGAGCCTGAGCAGACCTGCTCTTGGATTATTTGCATTGCTGTCCCCTTGCTCTCTCTTGTCCTCAGCTGGGACATTGAAATGTCACCTCCCCCCAGCTCACCCCTCTCAGACACCCAGTGTCACCCCCTCCTCGCTCTGATGCACAACACACCCTTTTCAATCTCCCCTCTGATCTTTGGAAAGATACAGCTGATGTTTTATCATGAACCAATCATGAGGATGTAAAACTCAGATCTCTAAGGACCACCAGGCCAAGCCCAGTGCAGGAGCAGAACTGCAGAGTTCCCTCTATGGCTTTGGGGGCTGCGGGGTCGTGCGGGATGTTGAAGCCATGGGCAGCAGCAACACGGAAAGGAAGGTGCTGGTCTGTGTTATCTGGGAAAAGCTGGTGCCTTCACCTTTGTTAATTCTGTTGAATTAGCTGAATTGGCTCAGCACTGGTGGACACACGTTGGGGTTCTCAGAGAGCTTCCAGCCCTCAGAGCACAGCCCAGAGGGAGGGGAGGACAGCTGGGAGCTCACTTCTCTGCTGGCTTTTCTTCCTGGAGACCTTCTCCTTCCCAGGAAGGCTGTTTGCAGCAGCCATCCATGTCAGGTGTGCACTTCCAGAAGCCCTTTTGGAAAGGTGCTGAAAGCTTTGTTTCCCATGGGACGAGCGGCTGCTTCGCCCCTGGCACTTCCCAAACCGTGGGAGAGCCCTGGCAGGGTGGGGGAGCACAGGGCTGGGGACAGCACAGGATTGGGGGAGCACAGGATTGGGGGAGCACAGGGTTGGGGACAGCACAGGGCTGGGGGGACACAGGGCTGGGACAGCACGGGGCTGGGGACAGCACGGGGCTGGGGGAGCACAGGGCTGGGGACAGCACAGGGTTGGGATAGCACAGGGCTGGGGGCAGGACAGGGCTGGGGACAGCACAGGGTTGGGACAGCACAGGGCTGGGGGAGCACAGGGCTGGGGACAGCAGCTGTCCGAGGACGGCACTTGGTCTCTAAGGGAGACAGTGGCTTCAAGCAGGAGAATCCAGAGGCATTTCCCCTCAGTGGGAGCTGGCATCAGGCCCCCAGAGTTACAGGATAGTCCTGGTGAACATAAGGCCAAAATCAGGGCGTCAGGAGAGCGCTGAGGGGCAGGAGGGGGGAGTTAAGGCTTTCATGGAGAGAGAGGTTCAACCTACAGCTCTCATTCCCTGAATCCCAAAGAGCCTGAACCAAACACTTCAGCTGGAGACCTGACAGGTCACTGGCAGCTGAGGAGAGACTGTGCTACCACACACCCTGCTGAGAGCACGGACTCATCTGGCCCGCCCCAAGGAACCCGGGCAGGGCAGCCTTTCCCTGGGAGTTCCCAGCAGTGGAGACAGGCTGGCCCAGGCCATGGCTCACCTAATGGCCCCTTCTGTGTACTTCTGTTAGTTTTCCTTGAAAGAAAACATTGCAAAAAGCATTCCCTCACCAAAAACCCCAACCCCTCTACCCGGGAATTCCTCACGAGGAGATTGTGGTACCCTGGATCACAGTGCTGCTTTTTTTCTCCTTCTTTTTTTCTTTCTTTTTTTTTTTTCCTTCTGCCAAATTTCGTTTCGTAACATGTGAGAACTCTTCTAAACAAAATGCTTAAAACATCAGCATTGCACAATAAAACAGAACCTGAAGGTAGTTACTGAAACAGCCCCAGACAAGGCTCCAAGGTTAAAAGAAGCAAACAGTTACAGACTAGTCAGCTACTAGAAGCAGGTTTTCCTTAGGATTTAAAAGTCCCAAAATAGCCATGAAACTTTTTTGTTCAAAAACACCACCTAAGCTCCCTTTTAGCAGCTGTGTGCTAACTGCAGGACCTCCAGGCTTTTAATAAAACATTAGAGATTCAAAACAGGTAGAGAAGTTCTTCAACCACACAGAACAGGAATGGCCTTGGAATTTATCAGTGAACATTTAAAAACTCCTAAATCTCAAGTATTGCTTGTAAGCCCTGCCTAAATGGGATGGATGTGCTTAATTTATGGGGGAGGGGGGAAAGTCTGGGAAGTCTGAGAGGAAGCACGAGGTGCTGCCTGTATGCTTTTACAATGTGAAAGCTTTTAAACAGCTTGGACACTGTTATTAGTGTGTTCTGCAGTGCACTGGCCTTCTGTCCCTACTCACTGAGCACTGGGAGGAGCTGCACTGGGGGATGGGAGGCAACACACAGCACAGACAGCACGTCACTGCTCCATGTGTGCCACAATTCCACAGGAATCCCTTTGCCAACACGGAACTGAGAGGTCACAGAGCCCGCAGACCTTCAGGGGAAGGTCAGCAGGAACATTCCCTGCGGGAAGAGCTGCAGGATCTGGCCCAGGGCAGCTGCTCATGCAGATAACTCGTCACTCCCACAGCTGGGAAGGTGGGCTCTGATTTACTGGCTGGACATAATGCCATGGAGATTTCTGTATTTATTTTTACTGGGTTTTGTAGTGAGATGACACAGCCTGGCCCAGCCACGAGATGGAATGAGCTCATCTGGACACAGAGAGCCCAGCAGCAAGGAGGAATTGGCATGGGATGGGTGTGCTGTTCCCAGCTGCCTGTGTAGGGTTTGGTGTAGTGTCGTGTTTCCTTTCTTTTGGTGTGAGAAATGCAAACCTGCCCTACTTGGCTCCCGTCGCTGGCCTCTGCTTCCAACACAGAAATGTAAAGTAATTGGATTTCTTGCAGGCAGAAGCAGCTTCTTAAGCAAGCAATGCAACGAGTGTGCTGTGTTCTGAACTTGCTTCAGAGCCTATTCCACAGCCTTGAAATCAAAACAGGCTCCCACCCACTTCAAATTGCAGTGGGTCCACTGCACACGAGGGAGAGGCAGGACCTCAGCACCAACCAAGGAGAAAACCCTTGGGCAGTCTTTCCCCCTGCCCAGCCGTTGGCCCACTCTTGCTGTGTAACTCAGAGGGGCAGAACAGCGTTATGGAGCCCCTTTCCTGGGAGCCAGCAGTGGGATGGGAAGGGCACTCAGCCTGGAGAAGAGCTGCACACACAGTCCACCGTGTGGGGAGGGAGCGGCGGCCACTGCCAATGTCACACCTGGGGAAGGACAAACTCCTTCCCTCCCTGCCAACAGCACCTCTCTCAGCTCTGCCCGGCCTCTCTGGCAACACCTGTGTGCCAACAGCCTGCCCTGTCCTTCCAGTTGTCTCAAAAGTACATGAAAAAGCTAGAGCTCTACTACATAAAAACAGTGAGTGGGGGGTGGGGGCTGAAGGGGCTTTGCTTTCTCATCGGGGCAGGGTCGGGGTTTGGTTTGTTTTTTCCATCACTGAAAAAATAAAACAGTCCACTGTCCAGCAGAGGCTGCTTAGACTCTATCCCTCCTCCCCCCCACCAGCTCACTCGACGTGGACCTCTGTCTCGGGCCTCTGCAGGCACAGCTCGGAGGGCAGGAAGGCTCCCTGCCCCAGCGCCGTGGCGTAAGTCCTGCTGTGCACGTGGGTGAACCCGGGGGGCACGAACCCCCCCGCTCCAGCATAGCCCCCTCTTTGGTGCTGAGGCATGGTATGGTAATCCTCCAGGTTGTCGTACTGGGACACCACAGTCATAGTGCTTTGGCGCTTGCCCAGGGTCTGGTAGGGGTACAGCAGGGCAGAGTCCCTCTCCATGGGCTCGGGGTGCTGCATCCGCAGGCTGTGGCTCCGCTCGGGTTTGGGCGGCGGGGCCACGGGAGGGGCAGCGTGTTCCTCCTCCTTGTAGCAGTCTCTGGAGTGCTTCTCCATGGGGGCAGGGGGTCTGGCTCGGGACCTCTCCACGTCTGGTCTGTCCTCTGCCAGCCTCCCCTCCTTGTGGTTCAGCCTCAGGGTGTCCTGGCCGGCCGGGATGTACTTGCTGCCCGAGTGCTGGTAGCCCATGGGCTCAGAGGGCTCTGGGCCCCCTTTGGGCCTGTAGTCGGGGTAGGGGGGCCCGTTTTTGGGCTCGGCAGGCTGCCTATGGCTCGCTTCCTGCTGCAAGTGCGTCCTGTGCTCGCTGGTGCTGCCGCCCTGCTCGTGCATCTTCCTGTTCCGGACGCTGCTCTGCTTCTGGGGCAGGGACGGTTTCTCGGGCTGCCCGTTCCCGTAGCCCCCGTGGTAGTGGGCTCTGTCCAGCTCGGGCTCCGGGTGCTGCAGGTAGTACCGCTCGTCCCCCTCGGGGGTGGCCGCCTTGCCCGGGTACCTCCCCTCCTTGCCCTCGGCCACCGTGAGGAGGCCAGTTTTCCCAGGATCGGATTTGCTGCGCAGGTGGATGGCGTCCAGCCCCCCCAGCTCATCCTGCAGCAGCGGGGCCACGTTGTCGTACTGGGACATGAGGGGCCCCTTGACCTTCTGGCGCGAGCGGCTCTCCCTGCGGATGGACTGCATGCGGTACTTCTCCATGTCCTCCAGGTCCCACGACATGTACATGTGCTTGATGTCCGGGGCGGGGGGCACGTCCCTGCTGACGAAGCTGTGCTCCTTCCCCGTCAGGTGGTTGATGAGCCCCCCTCGGGGGTAGGAGGCCAGGCTGGGGTAGCGGTACAGCCCCTTGCTCTGCAGCCGCGCCGCGTACGAGGAGAAGTCGCGGCCGGGCAGGGGGTGGAAGGGCCGCACCCGCACGGTGCTGTAGGGATCCAGGTCGTAGAAGCCGCCGTCGGCCGTGGTGTAGTAGGAGGAGGAGCTGGAGTAGGGGCTGTAGCGGTAGTGCACCCGCCCGTTCTCGAAGTAAGGCTGGAGCTGCGTGACGTGGTAGTCGGAGTGGGGCTGGTATGGCTTGTACTGGTAGAGGGGCCGCGGGCAGTACAGGGGCTCGTCGTCCGGGGGCACCTCGGTGCGGGAGATGGGCACGGAGCGGATGGCGGTGGCGGCGGGGGTGGGCACGTGCAGGGACTGCACCCTGCGGATGGTGGGGTAGGGGGGAGCGTCCTCGGCGTAGCCGGCGCTCCGCAGCCCCGTGGGGCTCACCGAGGACACGAACTCCGTCCGGCTGCGGGGCTTGGAGTGCAGGGCCGGGCCGGCCTTGCCCTGGGTGCCGTAGGTGTTGTAGCGGGTGCCCGCCGAGCCGGGGGTGTCCGAGCGGGGCGGGTAGGCCTGGTGGGGCTCGGCCTTGCCGTGGTACACGTGAGGGGGGACGCTCTCGGGCCTGTACTGGTGCATGGAGGCCGGCTTGGGGTGCAGGTAGGGGTCGGGCCCCGAGGGCTCGGGGATGCTCTCGGGCTTGGGGTGCGGCACGTACACGGTGTGCTTGGGCGGGGGCGGTGGCGGCGGCGGCAGCAGCGCCTCCTCCACGGAGGAGGCCAGCATGGAGGAGGCCAGGAAGGCGTGGTAGTTGGCGTTGCTGAGGGGGTCGGCGCTGTTGGAGTGCATGGCCGCGGCGATCTTGCTCTCCAGCGTCCTCACGGGCGGCACCGGGGGCGCGAAGCCGTAGGAGGGGTGGGACGGGACGGACTCGGAGCGTAGGTGCAGCGGGGGGGCCCTCGTGGGCTCCCGGGGCTTCTCCACGTGGCTCTGGGGGCCCCCGGGCACCGACGAGGAGCCACGGGTGGTGGAATTGCTCTCTGAGACAAAGGCAGGCTCCGGGGGCTTCTCAGGGGCAGTGGTGCTCCATACCTGCAGGGAGGAAAGCAGCAGAAGTCAGGGACAGGCAGCTTTCCCCCCTCCTGTTCATCAGTTAAAATATCACAGACACTCGTATGGGTCAGCCCAATTTCAGTGCTTCTGTGCCTGGTTCCCATTGGCTGTGGAAGGAGATGTGCAGGTTCCCTCTGTCAGCAAGGGCAGTGTAGTGCCAGCAGCAGTTTGGATCCATCACAACTGGTGTGTTCTGCAAATGCCAAAGCACAGGAAGGGGAGGAGGTGGCTGCCTCTTTACCCACTGCCCCCAGTGTTTTGTTACATGCTCTGCTTTTAAATGTATCACCTTAATGAAAATGTACTTGGTTTGGCCTCCTCAGGCTCTGGTGAGCAGATCACACCGTGTAACAGAGCAGAAATTCCTGCCCTAAATGTGGCTACAGAGCTTAGGCCAGGCTGAAGCTGGACACGCTTCATGGGTCGAGGTGGTTTGGATTTCTGAGGGAACACTGCACAAGGAACCCCTGCACAAGGAATCTGACCTGCTCTGTTAAACAGAATAACTGAGGTTGGAAAAGATCTCAGAGATCATCAAGTTCAATCTTTGAACCCCACCTTGACTCCCAGCCCAGAGCACTGAGTGCCATGTCCAGTCCTTCCTTGGACACCGCCAGGGATGGAGACTCCACCACCTCCCTTCCACCTTCTAGTCACCCCTTCCGTGAAGAACTTCTTCCTAATGTCCAACCTAAGCTGCACAAGGGAAGGTCTAAGACTACGTCCTCTTGTGCTATCACTAGTTGGACAAGATCCTACACAGGATGTTGGAAGAGGATATTGTCAGAGGATGCAAAAATCTGTTTCTGAGCACATCAGTCACCACTGCAAATACTTTTTCTCCTTCAAACCAAGGAGGGTGGGTATACTGGGATGCCCATTTAGGAAAGTAGCACAGGATCTCCTCCAAGGCTGTGTCTGCGTTGCACCCACATCCCTTCCAGCGACCTCTGAACCCCCTTGTTGGGGGCCCGACTTTCCCCCTGCAGTTACAGCCCAGCTGTGCCCGGAGCAGGACGTACCTGAGCAGAGCTGCTCGGAGCTTTGCTGGAGGCTGCTGGCACTTGTCCCGTGGCTGCCTGGTGGTCCTGCCTCTGTGCCGGGGTGGGCTGGGTGGCCGTGGCTGTGCGTGGCACAGCTGGGACGGTGCCATCCCCCTGCGAGGGCTCGGTGGCTGTGCTGGGGATGGTGGTTAAATACGGCACCGGGGCGCCCTTGTCCCCAGCAGGGGCCACGGGAGGAGACGGCAGTTTGTCCTCGGCCGTGCAGGTGGGAGTGTGGAGCTTGTCCCCAGACACGCACGCCCGGAGCTGGGGTCTGTCCACAGGTGGCTCTGGGGCGGGTGGCTCCCGCTCTGGGGCGTGGTGGGCCGTGTGCTCCCAGTCCCCCACGTGCGTGGGGAAGTGTTCACTGTCCCCCGCCTTGCCAGGATGGAAGCTGGCCTGCTCCTGCTCTGCATCTCTGCTCCCAGGCATGTCCCCAGGCATGCCCGTGTGGAGAGGCGGGGGGTCCTGGCCTCCAGGTGCACCGGGTGGGTGGTTCTGCTCCCCGGCTGTGCCGCTACCTTGGAATTCCTGCTCTACGGGAGCACCGGTCTGGAAGTGGAGTCTGTTCTCGGGCAGACCGGTGTACAGGTGGAGCTTGTCTGGAGCACCAGCAGAGAGATGGAGCTTTTCTAGAGCTGTGCCAGCTTCAGCCTCTCCATAATTTGTGCTTTCAGCATGAGCATCTCCTGGCCTTTTGAGGGACTGGGCGGATGCTTGCTGTGCGGACTCGGCTAACGCTAGGGCCAGCATGCGCGCTGCGTTTTTCGGAGGAGGAGGAGGGATAAGAGACACAGAACTGACGGGAACAGGATCCTGGGGGGAGTCGAGGGCAACTGCTCCTAATGGGGGAAAATTGAGAGAGAGAGTGATTTTATGTTACCCAATAAGGAGAGTGACCTTAACCTTAAAGACTATCATAAAAAAATAGATGCTCTCCACGCTTTCACAGTGGCAGTTCCTTCTGGTGTGAAACACTTGTGTCTCACGCAAACGCTGCTCAACAGCACAGCAGTTCATCACAAAGAGGGAAAAAAACACAAGAGATTGTCTAAAGGTTCCTCTTGCATTTCTAGAGAGGTAGGAAGGAGGTAGCAGAGACCGAGATACCCTTAAACAATTTTGATCATAAGGTTTTAGGCGAAAAGGTCCCTTCTTCCAGAGTTGGCAGATTTTTAATTTAAAAAAGAAAAGCCTTAGATGGTCAATTGGCTGAAATGACTGAGAAGGACATGCTAGAGATTTTCACACGTGACAGGATGGGGAAAAAAAAAGTGGCATATAAAGCATTATGGAAAATTATCCGAGATTTGTGTGATGTAGGGAGAAGGCAGAGGTTAAGACCCTATTGATCTGCACAGCCCTGCAAGACACTCGTGATCAGAACTGACGGGCAAATCCCCTCTCCTAAAAGGCACGCAGAGGAGGGAGGTTCTGAGAGCAGGTCCCCTCGGGAACTTAAAGAAAGAATGGAGCAAAATGCACTGTACCTGGCTGTGTGTGTCCAGTGGGTACAGTCTTAGTCTGACTGCTTGGCATGGGTCTCTCCCCTTCTTCTGGCAGCTCTGGCTTGCCAGCAGCCACTAGCTGGGAATGCTGCAGCTCTTGGTGGGTTCCTTCCCCTGCTCCTGTTTCACTGCTTTTCAGGGGAAAGGACATCTGTGTTGGGGACCTGTTTGTGATCTCAGTGATGCCAATGCCTTTGCTCCAGCTGGAAGCAGAGGAGTTCCTGGATGTGGATGTGATGGGCACTGCTCCGATGGCTTCTGGCCCACGGCTGGGCAGGGCAAAGCAGGTAGGCTCTGCAGTCAGTGGTGGAGATTTGATGGGCTTTCGGCCCGTCTTGGGTGAGAAGGTGAGTGGTTTGCAGGGCTGCTCCTCCGTGGGGCTCAGGTCCAGCGTAAAGAAGGGACTCATCTTCTCCTGGAAAGGGGAGACTGGCTCAGAGCTCGTGGCACTGCCTGGGGTCTGGGACTGGCTGCCTGATTCTAAATCCTTCTTTAGCAGGCTTGGCTTGTCCCTATTGATGTCAACCGACTCCAGCAGGGAGGTGCTGCTGTCCAGGCACTCGGACTCTGCCTGGGGGGGGCTGCACTGGAAGGACATGGGGTCAAAGTCCAGGCTGGCGACTCCGATGTCCGGGGGGCTCAGGTCGACGTCCTCGGAGGAGCGGGGGGAGATGAGGGCAGGGACGTGGATGAGCCCCTCGTCCCCGTCGCTGTCGTCGTGGGGAAGGTTGTCGTAGGAGTTGCAGCGGTTCATGTTCCCCAGGAGCTCCCCATTGAAGGAAGCAGAGAGGGCATCGCTGCTGGACCTGGGCCTCCGGGGCCGGAACAGTTTGGATTCACCTGGGAACGAGGAGATACCTGTGGGTTAGGGACAAACTCCTGCTGTCCAGGAGGCCAGGGCCTGGTGGGGGTGTTAAAGCTCAGCTGGTGAGCCCTGCACACAGAAATGACATTGTTAGCAGTAACTGTTTATCACGTTTGTTTAAACTCTTTTACAGCAGTTCCAGGTCTGATTTAGTTGAAACTAAGCTGTGTGTACAAGCAAAACCTGTTTAAATGTGCTGTAGGGCTAAGGCTTTCTCAGAGAGCATTTTCCTTCAGGATGCTGCCTTGTCAGCCTTGGAATAGAAAGGGGAGGTGGCAAGGCAGGGACATAGGCAGTGCCAGCTACTCCAAAGCAAGAGGTTTGGTTTTTTTACCTTAGAAGGAAAAAAAGGCATGAAGAGCATTTCTGTGACACCCATCTGTGCTGGGCAGCTTTGTTAATTAGCAAGTCCACCTTTCCCTGAAGGGGTGGAAAAGCTGCCCTGTGGCATATCTGTGCCCAGGAATGTCAGCCTGCCTTCTTTAATCCACGTTTATTGCAAGTGCAGGTGGGATTGTGCCTTACCATCCACGGCGTGCAGAGAGGTGAGAGACTCCTCGCTTTTAGCCGAGCGCAGGGTCCCGCTGTCTCCTCGTCCACCTGAGGGAAGGAATCCACACAGGGAAAGGCTGAGTTGTGACAGTGCTTTATATCTGGCTGTGGAATGATGGCAGGAAAAACACACACAGGTTTCCAGCAACACTGTACTGAGAGTAATTTTGTTTTGGGGATGGGTTTCTGATGCTCATTTTAGTGTCCTGGGAAAGGTGACCCACTCAAATGGTACCTGCTGTAGGTGACAGGTCAGGAAACATCTCTCCACATCATCCTCCTACAGACTCAGGATGCACCTCTGGTAACTGGCTGGCTCCTGCCAGCAAGGAAAACCCCTCAAAAATGGGGAAGAAAATAACATTTTCACAACTTGTTTTATGGGCACTGAACAAGCACAACTTCAGTCTCCAAGGAGACAGTCCCAAAGGGCATTTATAGTGTGTGAGGGCTATCATTTGAAAATGGGACCTGGGAGAAGATGGGATAAAAGTTCTCACTGGCCCATGTTTTGGGATTTGTGGTGTGTTTTACCTCAAAAACACACTGCTGCTATTTTTAAATTTGGAAGAAGGCAGAAAATTATATATGGAAAAGGCTGAGGATTCAGCCCACATATCCTGGCTGTGGCTACAAAGGGTTGTTGGATGTGTTCTCATTACACTGGTACAGAGTGTTTGTAGGAAGGTGTCTTTCCCTAATCTAATCTTCTGAGAGCAGCAAAGGGAGCCAGAGCTGTACTCTCATTTTATAATCAGAGTGTCAGAAGGAATTATTCTGAGACTTATTGCAGCAGCACCCACATATTGTCATTCCAAAGCCGCAGAGGTGTGAGCTCTGTCAGGCTCTGGAGCTGCCCGAGATCCATTTGGGAAAGAGCAGCTCCCTGGAGTGTCATGCCTGGCTTGGACGCTAGAAGGAGATAAAAGCACGCTGAATGTGTGCTGCTCAAGCCCAGAGTTTGGGAGGGGACTGCAGCTCACCTGCCAGGGCTATGGCTTTCATCTCCGAGGGCTCGCTGGGGTTGCGCTGCAGTTTGCGCTTGGACACAGAGGAGGATTTGCCCAGGTTGAAGAAGGATCTCCAGCTGCCCACTGGAGACTTCTTCATCTTGCTGGGAGGCCTTTTTCTGGGGGAGCAAACAGAGCACACAGTTGGAGAGGGAAGCTGCATCTAAATCCTGCTACTGGTTGCTTGTTATCAGCACTCTGGTTTCTGCTTAGAAACTTCCTCTTCTCAGCAGCTGAGGGTGTTTTCATTCCTACAGCTCAGCCCTGCAGTCTTGCTGGGTGAATTCCACCCAACTCTGGGATGCAGGTGCAGTGCAGGGGAGCAAAGGCTCCTGCCTGTGCAGCACAGCAGCTGAGGGATGGATTTCCAGCTCTCTGGGGAGCTGTGCAGCCATAAAGGTACCCAAAAAGGGCACCCATAAAGGTACATCACTCGTGCTGTAAAAACACTTTCACCCCCTCCCACTGCCACTTCTAGTGTCATCAAGCCTGTGCAACTGCTCCACTGCAACCTGGAGATGTTACAGGCACTTAGTCCTGAAACCTGACAAACCCCAATGTCTCCACGTGGTCACTCTGTTTACACCTCCTTCTGTGTGACTGGTACAGTCACCTCTGTGCACCAACACAACATGGATTCATACATTTAATGATATCCCTGCCAGAAAGAAGGGAGTGGTGCACAAGTAAATTAAACCCACGAGCCCATCGTTATAATAAGCTGAATCCTCACAGAGTCCAAAGCAGGTGGAAAAACAGCTACAATATTTCACATGTGACCAGTAAGTATCAGGAAGTTTTTGCTGTAATCAAAACAAACCAGTTATGACACATGCTGGGAAGAAACTTGTCCCTACCTTTCGGATGGGAAGTCTATGACTGTGTGGAATTTGCCTTGCAAAGCTGCTGGGCCCTCTCCCACTTCTATGTACTTGCTGTCTGCCATGATGGGAGAGTTGATCTGGGCCTGGGTCCGAGCCTGTGCCTCCTCCAGCGTGAGCAGCTTCGTGGAGGGAGAGGACACCAGCAGAGACTTGGGTCGGGACAAAGAGCTGTGCCCTGCAAGGGAAAAACCACAGGCAAGAGGGAGAGTCAGAAAACAGCAGTGCAGAGATCAAAGCTCAGTCTGTGTGCCTAGGGAGGTGCTGTGTTTTTCTAAACCTTTGTTATCCCAACCACTGAAAGACGTGGACAAAATGTGGTCAGAGATATGTTTGTGACAAAAAGGATCTCTCACTGAGTGGCTTGGTGTATTAAAAAATAAAGGCAGAGAGAAGCAGGTAGATCAGAGACCTTTGTGACATACTTTACTTCAGCTTCATCTGTATAGAAAAGCCTGCACAGAAAATGATGGTTTTCCTTTGTACAAAGCTTGGCTGTGTCATTCCCAGGTTCCACCTCTTGTATAACAGGAAATGCCATGTGTGACTGAAGCTCTACAAACCACTGTGCAGATGCACAGAGCAAACAATCTGCTCTGTGTCCTGCCCTTGGCCTTTTACAGCTTGGGCTGGTTTTGGAGATGAACACGTAAAGTTCTGTGCAAGTAGTTGCTGTTGCCTCCTGCTGCTGTCAGCTTCAGCATAGAGGAGATCACAGCAGCTGTCCTTTGCTTGCCATTGTTTATTGTGCAAGTGTTTCCAGGGTTGCTCCCAGAGGAGTTCAGGGGTGTGGGGGGAATGTGCCATCGCAGAACATCCTGGTTGGTTCCACTCCCACGGCTCCTGGTGTGTGTGTGAGCTGTAAATGCTGTCCTGGGTGAACTGTGGGTTAAAACAGGCTTGGCAGCACCACTTTCACCTCTCACAGGTGGGTGCAGGAGCTGTGCTTGATCCCAGAGGCTCCTGAAGCCGTGCTGGAGTGCAGTATTCCTGCTAAATATGCCAAATAACCCAACCCTTGTCCCTGCCAGTTTTGTGTCCAAGCTCACTGACTGTGAGTGACCAAGTCATTAAACAATTAGCTGAATTTACATGGTCCATTCTAAGCCTGGATAATCATCTGGCTGGGATTCTGAGCATGCTTATCTTCCCCTGGCAGAGCCTGCTGGGGGCTGTCACTGCTCAGCCAAACTAACCTCTGGCTCCTGCTGACCTAGAATCCCCTTCCAGGAGGAGCAAAAGCTGGACAACTCTGCTGTCCTAAGTAGAAATATGGCTTGTTTAAAAGAGGGGAGCAGCAAATCCAGTGGAAAAGCAGCTCTCTGCACTGCCCAGGGGGTGGTGACTGCGTGGGCTGTGCGTGTCTCACGGGCAGGGCAGGTTGTCAGGGCAGATGGTGCACCCTTAATGCTGCTTAGGAGCAGCAACAGCTTGTGGTGGCCCCATTTGTTGATCTAACACACAGAGGAAACCTTCTTCCTGGTGTAACTCTGCTCCTTTTCCATGGAACAGTGATATGGTCTTAGTTACTCAAGGGAACTGTAGGTTCCAGGGCTGAAAATGTCTCAGGTGCCCCAGGTTGGGCACAAACGTGTTGCAGTTCATGGCTGGTCAGCCCTGCTCATGAACCCACACAGGCTGTGCTTCTGCAAGGAATAACCAGCACAGCAGATGGCAAAATAGCCCCTAGTAAGAGCAAGACAGTTTCTTAGCATCAACATCACTGAATACAGAGAGCTTGCTTTAATTCCTTAATTTCTACTGGTATTCTAAGGTCCATGGATAAATGTAGAGAGCTCAAATGGATAAGTTTGCAGGAGCATCGATGGTGGTGGCTTTAAAAAGCAGAGGGAGCAGGGGGGGGACAGATGAAGGGACAAAGAGGAAGATGAGGAAGAAGAGGTCCCCGAGCCCTCCACCTCAATTTCCAGAGGGGTGTGCTGGGGGAGGATCTGGGGGGCGGATAACTCTGGGATAATACCTTAAATTATGGAACCCCCTGGACACGTGTGGGCGTCTCTGTACCCCCATGGTGGTTGAAGGCCTTCTATTAAAACTGCTCTATTCTCTTACCTCTACAATAATTGCCTGTGAGTAATTTTTTGGCTCCTGACCAATTTTTCCAGGCAACAGTTTTTTGATTCCTTGCAATTTCTCAGTGGTAGGACACAAAAGCAGCAGCCAAACATTACTCTGTGCACTCCTGTGGGGCATCCTGGGCTTCTAAGAAAGGGACTGACAGCAATTTGCAAAACTAGGCCATATTTGTTGGGTTCTGACATCATAACCCAGAAAACGTGGAGATGTGTCCTCTAGGTTAGAAAAACCCCATATTTGAAATGTGCAGGGGAGGCTCAGATATCCACTGACTGCTCCAAGGGAGGGAGGGAGGGGGACACGCACCTGCTCCGTCCCGGATGACCGAGCTGAGCTTGGAGCTGAACAGAACATCCACGTGGTTCAGGATGAACTCCACCACCACCGACTGGATCCGCACCTCCATGAAGGCAGCAGTGCCACTGAAACAGGCTGACTCGATCTGCTTGGACCTGGGAAAGGACAGACATGAGACAGGGACAGCCAGGGCTGATGCTGCTGCTGGGGGCTGTGCCCGTGCTCAGGTAGAGGAGGCTGCAGGGGCAGGTATGGATTCAATCCCAGCACAGTGCTACACAAAGGATCACACTGACTGCAGGGATTTAAAGGCAGAGTTTTGGTTTAGCTCCAAGTCTTACTGAAATGGCAAGAGGAAAGCTGGACTCGAAGGGAAAAGGGTGTGAGGCAGGTATGGCTCGAGGTAAATAAACTGAATAGCCCAAATGGGGAGCTTTTTGTTAACTGCCAGGTACCATGGCTGCCACATTCAATGCCACTGCACAAACCTCACTGTGGCCTCGAATGGGATTTTCCCTCGAGCAGGGAAATGTCTCCAACTGATCTGATCAGAGAGTGCCCCAAGATTCACCAAAGCAATCTCAGACCTGACATCACTCGACTGCCTGGGGATGAATTGCCAGAAAGGGGAGAACAGCTCACCTGCATGCACTGCAAGTGTTCAATGCCACACTGGATGGGGCTTGGAGCAACCTGGGCTAGTGGAAGGTGTCCCTGCCCATGCCAGGGGGTGGCACTGGATGAGCTTTAAGGTCCCTCCCAACTCAAATTGGGATTTTATGTGAACTGCACACTCAGATTTCCCAGGTTGGTAACAAAAGCAGTTCAGAAATCAATAGAATAGAGAGCAGGGTGACATTATTTTTTTTCTTTTAAAGCAAAATTTTTAAATAACACCATTAATTTTAAACTACCCTATCATGCACATTCAAAACAAATTTTAGGGGACAGATTTATCCGAGATTATTTCTGTAAGTTTGAATTCTTGCAGCCACAAGCTGTTAAATTAGACTCTAGAGACTTCTGCAGTGGGAAATCAGTGATGCCACTGAAGAAATTTCCTAGGATAATCAAGGACACACTCGTCTCATCTAACCAGGAGAGGGGAAATTATCCTCTAGAGAAGAGGGTTGAGGGAATTCTTCCTTGCCACTACTGACTGAGCTGCAGTCGTTGGGACTGGGTCATGTGAGACAGAATATACCAGGATGTTTTTGGGGTGGTCCCCACTGACAACAGCAGGGGCTGTTTTACATCACTAGCTCAGGAACGTGCCAGCTGGGTCTTAAATCCTGCTTAGAGTATTTTCCCACATTTTGCAGGAGAAGAAGCACACTGGATGAAGAAAGGAAGAGCTCTTTCCAGCTGCTGGAAGCCAGGATTTTCCAGAGAAGAGCTATCTATCTGGTTTTTATAAAGATAAAGCCTTCTCTGTAGTGAAATGGGAAAAGCCCAGGGTACCTGAGGAGGTTGGGAGCCCAGACAATGGCCAGGTTCTTGGTGTGCATGTTTGTGATGGAGCAGTAATCAGCCAGACGAGCCAAGTGCCTCATTAGGAACTCCAGTGTCCTGGAAAACGGGAGAGAGGCAAATGTTCAGCACCACTGAGCAAAGCCAGGCTGTGATCCCAGAGCAAACCCAGCTCATTATTTCCTTTTGGTTTGACAGCTCCCAGAAAGAAACGCTGAACTCCCTCCCCTGAGCCCACGGGGAGTGTCTGCAGCAAAGTGACCCAGGGTGGGCTGAGGGGAGTCCCTCCTGATCTGTCCAGGCCCAAGGCAATGACAGGCCCCAAAATATCCTCTTTGCAGGTGTGTGACAGCGCTGAGGAGCTGCTCAGGGGGAAGGATGTGGAATGCCAGTCCTGGGAAGAGGGGGAGTAGTGATTTAGACACCCCAGGACATTGAAAACCAGCAAACTGCCCCTGAGTTCTACTGAGGAAGTTACTGGCTGCAGGTTTGTTAGAGGTCCATGAGGCAGACACAAATTAAACTCCAGAGGCTTGTGTTCACGGAAAAATGCCTTTTTATATATTAATGAAACACTGTTGTACCCCCTGGGGAGGAGGGAGCAGGAGGTGGCAAAGAAAATGCTGATCCATCCTCCTCAGTGCTGGGGCTCGGCAACAGCCCTGGCTGTGTCTGTGTCTCTGGTTCTGGAGGGGAGATGGAGCAGAGGGGCTCAAAATTCCACAAATGGACAAGGACTGGAAGTGAAGACAGATGGGTCTGGCTGGGAACAAAGCTGACATCTCCTGCCTGCAACTTCTCATCACTGAGCAGCACAATAATAAAGTGTTTTTTCCTTTTCTCAAGCAAACTGAGGAAAGGAGGGAAGAGCCCTGTGAACCTCCAGCATCCCACTTCCAGGGCTTGGCTGGGCTTCCTCTCCAGGACTGAGACATGGATCAGCACCCAGTTTAACCAGCCCATAAAGGAGAAGTCATTTTAGGGAAAAGGTGGAATGCCCCAGAGAAACTGAACCAAAGGAGATTAGTTTATTTTTGAGAAGGCCCTGCCCCCGTAATTAACACAAATAAAATATTGTCATTAGTTACTAAAAGTACCAGCTGTTCCACTAACTAGCCCATGTTATTTAATGAGCAAGTAGCACACAGTTGCAGCTTATAACAATTAGTTAAATCCTAGTTAACCATTATAATTAGTTATTTATAGCACCCAGGTGCAGCATTGCAGTTGTGCAGCTAATCACCATATATCACAAGAATTGAAATATAAATATTTATTAGCATCAAATATTATATAAATTTATAATTATTTATTATTTTAAATAGTTCTCAATACCTATTTTTATGTGTTACAACTGGCCATCTATAGCACTGAGGGTACAGAATTCTAACTAGTCCTGCAAATTAACATATATTACAATAATCAATTGTAATTATAATGCATTATAATGTAGTTAGTTACCAATAGTTACTAACATTAAAGTCTCATTAACATACAGTATTATATGCAGTTATTAAAACCAATCACCATAGCAATTTGTCTGATGCCTTTTTACCATACCCCGCCACAAATTTTAATACTAAAAACTGTTAAAATGTTGTTATTCTTAGTCAAGACTCATTACCATACAGCACAAATTGCTATTAATACTAATTAGTTTGAATATAGCACTGTAATTGGTGATTTTTAAACACCCTATTATGTTATTCTAATATATAACACTAATATAATAATTTACATTAGTAATTCTAACAGACAACTTACTATTTGCTAGTTACTATTATTACTGGGAGAGGGAAACTGGAGACAAAATATGTTTGTTTTTTGGAAATATTTCACTTTTTTAAAGTATCATTCCTAGAGCTGGTTTTGTGCCCTCGCAATAAAACTATTTATAAGCCACCTCTGACATACCAAGGTTGTATTTCTCTCCTGTACAGACTTTCCAAGGAAGTCAAGTAAGACCATGTACAGAATGTAGCGTTTGATAAGGAGCTGATTAAAACACAAAATCAGCTTTATACCGCAGTTTCAATATGCAGAAACACATCTTGAGAGGGGAACTGGAATCCTGTCATTTCTGTCCCGAAATTCCAGCACAGGAATGGCCCTCACCTGTAGTGGGGAGGGGGCAGCTGCTGGATCACATCGTGGATCTTCACCAGCCTCTCCTCGTCCGTAGCAGCAGACACAGCATCCTGGAACGAGGCAGGGAGGGACTGAGCTGCAAAGAAAGCTGAAAACCTGCCCCTGGCACCACATGGCCAGTGAACAGTCCCTCAGCAGTGAGGTGGATTCTGCTGCTCTTCCCTGCCTTGGGTGAGGGGTCTGTCCTGGGGACAGAGCAGCACATGGATCGTGTGAGGAAGGCCAAGGAGATCACGGTCTGGGACACTTTAGAGCTTCATTGTACAGAGCAATTCCTTGCAGGAGGTGTGCAGCTCCAAGCAGTGTCTGCTTCTAATCTCAAGAAATCACTGGGAACAGCAAAGCATCAGGAATTCATGGTTGGGGTTCCCCAGTGACCCTCTGCTGGGGAAGGGGAATCAATACACTGAGGCACAGGGGGCAAAGGCACTTGTGAGTGACCTAACTGGGAGCAGGAAAGGCACCTCAAACTCTGGGCACTTCCTTCTGGAATGGCAGGAGGGGAATCTGGTGTGTGGGCAGCACAGACCAGGTGCTGTCAGGCTGGTGATTTTGGAGATGTGCTCTTCAGATTGCTCTAAAAACCTCAAATTAAGCAAAAGTAAACAGAGGAAGGTGTGTGGAAGCAGGTTCACCCTGCTGTGGGTCCTCTCAGTGTTCCTCTGAAGTCCCACTGAGGTGGGAAGTGGCTCCCATTTGTCTCATACTTACTGAGAACTTCTCGTAGAGCTGGTAGGTGAGCAGGGGGTTGGGGAGCTCTCGGAAGTACAGCTTGCACAGGGAGCCCACACAGTGGATGTCCTGGATGTAAATGTCCTTGGTCAGGTCGGGAATCTGCTCCGAGTCAAACTCGTGGCTGGAAACAAGAAATGGGCCAAGGGGTTTGAGAAGGAGCAATGCAATCAAACCCAGCAAATTACAGTCAAGCAAAGCAAGGGTTTCCTGATTTACAGGAAAAAATAAATCCTTAGTCACCAAAGCCACGTGACCCACGGCTTTGGGGCTGCTACAGGGGATTTTTCCAAAAATCAGACTTTATTTTTTTTCTAATAAGGCATTTTCAGTGAGTTTTACAACCAATTGGCTGCAACCCCTTTTGCTGCATCAGGGCTTTTCACAGAGGCTTCAGAGAAAGCCTTCCAAGACCACAAGGACAATCTGTTAAACTCCCAAGGGCTGTGCCTGGGATTGCCCACAGGTCTGATGAAAGTTGTCCCTCTGCATTTCAAAGGCCTGGGAATTGCAGTGATCAAGCCGTGCCAGCAGCAGTGCCATGGGCAGCACGTGGAAACCAGCGTGTGCAGAATTCCTGGGGGACAAACTGGTGAGCTGAGCCTGCCTCTGCCACGGGCTGAGGAGAGCCAGGAACCACATGAAGAACATCCCTGAGCACTCCCTTGGTTTTCAGAGAGAGGGAAAAAACCCAAAATCACAACCATTTATGAAATAAAAGTTGGGCTCTGAAGGCCAAGGGCTGGAACATGTGCATGGAAAATGCTGTTTCAAATTAGGCCAGATCTGCAGGGATGAGTGTGGTGAGCCAGGCCTGGGAGCTGGGGGAACTCGGCTGGTCCTGCTGGACCTCGGGGTCCCCACGAGGGTCTTCAGGATCAGAAGGGCTGATCCTGCCTGCACTGCACCCACAGCTGTGTCTGGGCTTGGTGCAAACAGCCCTGGCCTCTCCTCCACCCAAAGCAGGCAGTTTGTGACCCCGAGGGTGACACAGCCCCTCAGCACAGCTCCAGCACTGAGCCTGGAGCAGAACCTGCCTGTCCCCGTGCCCAGGGCACCAGCAGTGCTGGGAACTGATCCCTCAGGATCAGGAGGAGCTCCTTCCATCCCTAGATATGGACACTGTGTGTGGGAAGCCCTCGCCCTGCCAGGCTGAGGGGCAGGAGAAGGTGAACAGTCCCCCCCTGCTCCTCATCCCCAAGGCAGCACAGAAGGGAAGGAAGGTCCCTGCCTTGCCCCACTGACACTGCCTTCCCCCCTGCAGCCACAGCCCCTGGTGTCCAGCACACACCACACCACAGGCACTGACTCACCCCTTCCTGGGACAGAAACTTCTGCCCTGCACTTGGCTCCACATTAAAGCTCAGAAGGGAGGGCAGGGACAGCCCCAGCCCACTCCCTACAGGCACACTCAAATGTGTGGCTCAAATCCTCTGCCCATATCCTGCCCTATTCCAGGATATTTTTCTAGGAATAAATCCCACTCCATGTCAGGTGTGAGTATGGAGTGAAGAGAAGCCCCTCTACATCCAGCCTTTCCCCTGTACTGGCTGTTTCAAGGACTACACATTATTTCTTCTGACCCTACAGGAAGATTTTGTTGGTAGGACACAACTCCACATCTCCCAAAAAGAGCCAGGACACAGGGATGAACACCCCAAATCAACCCTGGCTCTGTTTGCCCCCCTGCCCCACAGAGGCAGCTCCTGCCCTGCTGAAGAGCCAACCCCTGTCCCATGAGAATCTCCCACGTGGAACCAATTCTCTAAGTTTGTCTCCAACCAAAAAGCCCTTTAAATCCAGGAGATCCAACTCTTCTGTGTGAACCCTTAGCACAGAGATTCATTTACAAGGACACTGCAGCTCTAGCTCTGAACTGAGCCCAGTGCCCTGTTTATACAGCTGGGAACTAAAGCAACACAGTGAGTCCTGCCTTAATCAAACACTGGAAATCTGCAGTGATTTAGATGAACGGGCAGTGTCAATAAATGCCATGTACTCCCTTCCCTTTGTCTTTGGAACATCTCAGAAAACTGGAAAACAGGCTGTCACTTCAGTCTCTGCACTGTACCAGGAAATGAAGCCATTGAAGTCTTAGAAAACCATTTTTAAATGGTTTAAATCCCATCTTTGATACACAGTGAAGGAGAAAATGGTATTGGCAACAAAAAGGGGAAAAATGGACTAAGGTAGAGATTAGGATGGTCCAGAACAAGTCAAAATGGGGAATTAAAGGGATGTGACCGAAGCAATGGCAAATGTTTTATTCAGCCAGGACTGCTGTGGGCCACAGCTCCAATGGGAGCCTTCGGATCCTGCATAAAAACCCCTCAGGAGCATTCTTTAAATGAGACTTGCTGCAATGAGAAACAGGATTAATCTGAACCAGAATAAACCCATCCATCCAGGGGTTTGTACAGTCACTGTCCCAGCTCCAACCTGCCCACTGAGCTGAGAAAGAGCTGGTTCAAAAAGGATATTCTGCATATGGAAAATCCCCCTGTGCTGCCTCTGTCAGGATCAGTGCTGGAATTAGTCCCATCCCACTTGGCACTCTCAGTCCCTCCACAACAGAACATTCCACACCAAATGGCAGGAGGAAAAACTGCCTCACAAAGGGATAAAGAGAGTTTACTGTGATGGGAACAGCTCCTAACCTGCAGGACACACACCTGGCCTCTCCCCGCACAGCACAGCAATGCCACCCCCAAGGATCAGGCACGTTTCCTCTGCACATTCCCAAATAACTGCTCATCAGTCAGGAGTCCAAGGCAGCACAGGGAGCAAGGAGAGGGCTCCAGGAGCCAGAAGGAACAGGAATGAAACACGACAGCACAGGGACACCGTGATCCTGACATTTCATCCTGAAGGGAAGCTTCCTGCAAAGGGAATGTGCTCCTGGAAGCACAGCCTGGGCCCTGCCCAGCACTCAGGTGTCCCCCCAGCCCTTACCGGAGTTTCTGGATGTTGGAGGCGATCCCGGAGAGCCGGTAGATCCCATCCACGATGCCGTGCTTCTCAATGAACTCCGTGCAGCTCTTGAGCACCTGGGGGACTGAAGGACAGGAGCTCTTGGTTAAGTGAGCAGGTTATTAAAGTCCTGTTCAGGCTCTGGTCTTGTCAGGTGCCATAAACCACCCCCAGCTGGGCCATGGAATTACTTCTTCCTTAGAGGAGAAAGCCTGTAAGAAATTTTACTTCTGGAGCTGGTGTGGAAACTGGTCAGAGGTGTTTATTTTAATAAAGAAATGCCAGGACACAAATCAGATTGAAAAAAGTCAATTCTGGTCGAGCAGAGACAGCACAGGTCCCATCACTATTCCCATGGTGTTAAATACCATCCAAGAAGATCTATAAAATTGAATAAATACTGTCTTTCAAATCTACACAGGATTAACCTCAACTGCTTGGTTTCAGCAAACATAAACATCAGGGAGATGCTACTTTTGGCACCACAGCCAGGAGAGTCTTTACAACTGATAATTTCCTTCCCAGTGTGTGCTGGAGCGTGGCTGGATGCAGAGAGCTCCACAATATCCTACACTCACAGAAAGTGCAGACAGAGCAGGGCATGACAGAATGGAAAAATCAGCCCAGAGGACATAATTAGGTGTCAGGTTAATATTCCAGCCGCTTCACCAACTGATTCCTTCCAGCTGGCTTCCCAGCCTCATGCACAGCCACTGCTGGAGCTGTGTGTCCATCCCTGGGAGCTTAAGGAGGAGCAAATCACTGGATTTATAAAAGAGAGATAAAACTGCCCTGAACACAGAGAAAATCGGGAGAGAGCTCTCGTGAGCATCAGCAAATGCTCACGGAGAGAGCTGGGATCCCTGGGCATCCCTGGGCCAGCCACCTTTCAGCCACAGCTCCTCTGCTGATCCAGATTTACTTGTACATGAGATGCCAGGTCTGATCAATTTGCCCTGTGACACACATTCTGAATAGGTCATGTGGCAAATCCCCTCAGATCAGGCAGCAAATGCCATCTGCCATCAGCTCTGCCCGCTCCTGCTGCCCGGGGGGCTGCAGCTCCCCCAGCCCCTTCCCTGCTGCCCTGCCAGCAGAAACCCTCCCAGCTGGAGAACAGACTCCTCCAAGGGGGTTCCCTGGAAATCAGCAGGTGTATCCCGGGATAAGGACAGACCTGCCCTGGAGCACAGGAGGGACTGAACCCTGTAAATCCTGTCAGTCACACAGGCTCAGCTGGAGCAGATTAGGCCCTGGACCTGGGATATTCCAAGACACCAAGAGACAGCCAGAACTAACGAGTCAGGCTCTAGGGTTACATTCCCAGGCATTTACAGCACCTCTCACTATTTTCCAAAGCAAGGTGCAGACTCTGGGGCAAGCAGAGCCCTTGTACTTTAAGCAAAGAGCTTTGGAAACCAAGGGCTGCTTGTTTTGGGAAGGAAAACCACGTTCTGCTGTCCCTGTAGGTGCAAGGAAACGTCAGAAGACAGAACCTTGGCACTGCTGGGCTCTGAGTAGGACCACAGCTGTTGGCATTTCCAACTGCCTGGATGCAGGAGTCCCACAGGACTGGGCAAAGGAGTTTCCCCAAGTTTTCAACTGTTGTGACAAGATCTGCTAATGCTGCAAATCCCAAAGACCACAGTGATCCATACTGGAACCTCAGTAGGGGTCTCCCTGAAATTAGTAGAACACACTGAAATAAATAAATAAAGAAGAAATAAATAAATAGGCAAATAAATCAAGAAGTAAATAAAAAAAAAAGCAGCAAATAAATCCATAGCACATTCCCTGCCTGCCCAAGTTCCCAGCAGGGAAGGACAATACTCACACACATGACCAGCTCTCCTGTCTACCTGCCCACCATGGGCACAGCTGGAACATCTGCCTGTGCTTCCTGAAGGAAGGCCTGGCCACAGGAGTGAGCTCTGTGTGTGCCCATCTCCCTCTCCTGGAGTTTATCCAGCTGTGCCAACACACAGCACGAGACAACAGCACTTACAGAGCAGCTCAGCCCAGCAGGAGCGTGGGGTGATGGTGTGGAGCAGGACAGGAGGGAAGGGGAGGGCTGGAGCACCAGTACCCTCCCTAAAGTACTCTTTTGTCAGGGAGGAGCCTGGGCACAGTTAGAATAACTAGAATATCCAGAAAAAATCCCAGCAGGCTTGTTCCCAGCATCTCCTGATCTGGTTACCAGGACTTTACACTAAATATATCATGGATATTCTGGGGGAATTCTGCACAGTGGCAGAAGGGACTGAGATCCAAGGAGGGCTGTAATTGCACCTGAGGGCCCTTTGCTGGGGTGGTGACTTGGTTTTTCAGATTTTTGAACAAAGCTGACACCTGACAATTGGATGTGTGTTTAACATCCCTCTGCCCTTTCAATCCCAAGCCCTTCAGCTAAATACACATTTTTATAGATGGAGATACACACATATGGAGGCAGGATGACAGCACAAGCTAAGACTTAATTTTGTGAATGTCAGGTGTGCCAAGACCATCCCCTACAGCAGCTGGGACTGGTTTGGTTGAGTCCCTGTCTCCATCTGCTCCATAAATCCCTGCCCTGCTGCAGGGGAACTCCTCAGCATTCAGGAGCTGAGTTTGGCTCCTAGATCCCAGACCACGTCCCAGATTGGAGCCAGACAGGGATCACAGCAGGGAACCGAGGGAGATTTCCTCTTCTAGGATGTAGTAACAGCAACACTGCAGTTCTATTAATGTCAGTGAATTACTGTGGTTTCCTGCAATTACAGCACCCAGACTGATGACACACGTGGGCTGCATTCACAGCCACAGGGCCCCCCCAGCTCAGCACCCGGGGCCTGACAACCCCCAGGTCACTTTGGGAAAGGGATGAGGAGGGAACAGGGTAACACTCAGTTCTTCCTCCAGCCCCATGTGCTCAGGGAAGCCCTGAGCCCAGCACTGGTGCCTGTGGTTACCCAGCCCAGCTCACAGTCTCTGCAGTGCCAACTTCCCAGGCAGGCAACAAAAACCTCTGATCCTCAGGGTGGTTTTATTCCTTTGCTGAGCCACGGGGTCTTCAGGCACTGGCTCCAGAAAACCTCCCTGCAGTGAGGTCTCTGAGTGCAGGTGGCTAAAATCCACTGCCAGTGCTGCCTTTGAACACCCACCTCTTCAGTGGAGCACTGGACACGTGTCTCACCCCAAAATCAATCACCTTTCCCTCCTTCCCTCCCTTTGTTGTCTCCCATATCAGGCAGTTTCAGGAAGCAAAGTGCAAAAGGCTCACCAAAGGGGACCCAGCACATCTCATCAGCACAGCAGCTGAAGGAATTCATTCAACTCATTCTTGAGCATCTCTCAGCTGCTTTGAAAGCTTTATTGCATCTCTGAGGGCTCGTTAACTGCTTAATTCTCTGCCATTAAGAGGAAGCAGTTTTATGGGCTTCACTCTGAAGAACATTTTGATTCATCCTCAAATCAGGCCCATTTCCTTTCCTATCATCTCGGGCTTATTTTTTTCCTTCTGAATCTTTTGTAACGTCCCCTCCCTGGGTTTTGGGAGGCTTGCTGGTGCTTTGTTTTAATTTCTTAGCATGTGAATCAGAACTATTTGTTCAGCCTGGGGCAGAGGCCTCCCACCAAGCTCTCCTGGGGCACTGTGCTTTTCCCAACCCCACCTCTGGGCTGGGTAATGGCCCATAGCACCCGAAATGCTGCTCCTCAGCTGAATTCCACACATAGCAAACCCACACAGGGATCCAAACCTCCAGGGACATGGAAAACCACTGCTCTGCACCACCTGAGCAGAGGAGATAACTGTGACTGAGTGCCAGGAGATTGGGAAGCTTATGGAAAATCCAGAACTGAGCAACAGAAGGTTGTTTTGAGCCACGAGAATAGAAACTGAAACCATCAGCCATCAGATAAAATACAGGTGGAGGCAGCTCACTCTTGGCTGTCCAGGATGTCCTTGGATCAGCCAGGAAGGACAGGTAAGGACAGGACAGGCAGGGGATGAAGCACCCCAAGAACACCCAGCACAACACAAGTGGTGTCACTGCACCCTGGACGTGCCCCTTCCTTGAAATCCAGTGCCCAGCTGAGACCCTGACAACTTCCAGACATCTGAAATCAGGCACATAAATCCCAACTCCCTTGCCATTAATGCAGGATTATGTAAAAACCTAACAGGGAATATCCTCACCCAAAGAAATACAAATGTTTTACCCCAAAGATCTTCCTATTTTAACTCAATTTTAGAAGCGTTAAGGTCAGAAAATACCTCTAAGATCATCAAGTCCACTTTGCAAAACACTGCCCAAGTATTTCCTTAAAAAAAAAAACAGTAAAAAACCTGTAATATTTCAGCCTGTAACTTGTTCCAGGAACCTCATTTCAAACCACTCACGTCTGAAGCTCTTCCCTCCCCTCAGAGTGGAGGTTACAGGCAGGTGTAAAACCAGTGTGGGACAGAGATTAAGGATTTTATTTTTATTGTTCCCAGCCACACAACTGCACCTGCATGTGGCACTTCACAGGCACCAGCCCTGCATGTTCAGGAAAACATGGAGCTTTAAAAGATCCTCTTCTCAGGATTTTTGTCCCACTCCTAAATCCCTGTCCTGATGTTTGAATCACCAAGAATAAGACAGAAATACAAAACCAACCAAGGATCCACCTTCCTTCAAGATGCTCAGGGTGTTCAGGGCCAGGTTGGACGGGGCTTGGAAGGTGTCCCTGCCCACGGCAGGGGGTGGGATGAGATGATCTTTAAGGTCCCTTCCAACACAAACCAGCCTGGGATTCCATGATTCTTCGATTCTCCCTCATTTCCAAGAACTGACCCACGTTATTATTCCCACTTCTGATGAGTTGTGTAAAATCCAAGCCCTCTGTCATGAGCTGCCCCATTTCCTGGTCACACACACTGAAAGTGCAATCCTGGAAGAGGGAACTGTAACCCACGAGCTGGATCCGTGAGCAGATCCAGGCACAGCTGGAATCAGCACTGGACTCTGCTTTGCCAGCCTGGACTTTTCTTTTATGGCAGCTGAGCCAGGGCTGGGTGAAAGCAAAGTGCAAAGTTCAAGCCTGAGGAACATAAACCCT